ACCGAGTACAGAATGAGGCCATGAGACTCATACTCGGCTGCACAAAAGACACCTCCTGCAACGCCATGCGTTATATCCTGGGTCTGCCGACTATGACAATCAGATACAAAGTGGCACAGGTCAAGGTTTACATGAGGGTATCGGCAGATGTTAACCACCCATTACACAAAGCTATTCACGACACAAAAGGAACGCGTCTCAAAAGGGGCCGCTCTTGGATGGCAAAGGCTGAGGACTTAATCCAGCAGGCATGTGACCTAGACGTGATCAGCCACGGAAAAGAATGGACGAATACACCAGTAGACATGCATGGCATCTCTAAGGTTGTCATTACACTCGGAAGGTACTGCAAGGATCAAATTCCTGCGGCGGTAGACACAGAAGTAAGGGAACTGATAGATCAGCATTCAGACCCAGAAGATACCATCATCTACACAGATGGATCCGTTAAGCGCGGATCAAGGTCAGCATGGGCAGACACAGCGCAAAGAAAGGGGAAAACAATAGATGACGACAGCGGCGCCTACAAGACAACCACGTCAAGCATGACAATGGAAATAGCTGCTGCTTCTAGAGCTTTAGCATGGGTATCTGAGCAAACCGCCACACAGGTAGTAATTGTCTCAGACTCAATGAATATGCTTCAGAAGATAGCAACAGGCAGTATGCGCTCTGAATGGATAGAAAGCATTAGGAAATCGCACTTAACCTCCGTAACCTGGATCTACACACCGGGTCATGCGGGCGTGAAGGGAAATGAGCGAGCAGACCAACTGGTAAGCACTGCACTGATGATTGTGGGAAAAAGTATGGACAGAGCAGACATAGTCAACGCTGTACGAACTGGGCTAGTGGAGAATGAGGAATCCCTGACACTAACACAATTGCGTGACATGGGAGTTAAGCATGGTGATCTGGTCTTTGCCGTCTTCGAGGCCGAGAAAGGAGACAATATAACCAGCTTCTCATGGGGACAATTAGTAGAAGTACTTAAGAGTGGCTGCTGCTTCGGAGAACTGAGCACGCATGGGTATGCCCAATGTGCAGTGACATTAATTGTGATAACAGAACATAAAATAACATCTTAGTAGGGAGTCCGCAGTACGAAACCCAAGTTCAAGGTGTCTCCTTCGTGCCAAAGAACTGCATGGCTGTTGGGTGAACAGTCGTTAACGATGGCAGGCAGGTCGTTGTAGGGGCGACGCCTGCTGGTGGATGTAATGTCCTAAGTCCCTTCCCCAGCTTATAATGAGGGTACTGCTGGGGTGACCGTTTATTAACCCTCATATAATTCTTCCGGTCAAAATGGACGCTAGGTACGGCCACCTTTTTTTTTTTTTTTTCAAAGCCGTGGCAAATATTTTTTTTTTTTTTTTTTTGCCAGACGGTGGCCGTTGCATTTTTGCTCCATTTGTAGACTGGAAGGATGTAGTTTCGTCGCCCAGCTTCTGAGTTGAGTGCATGGCGTGACACTGTGAGCTGTGTTTGTTTTTCGTTGGCACAGGAGCGGAGCATATGTGGGGTGACCCGTTTGCTATGAAGCTGAAACTAGGATTACCAGATTACCAGATGGAGGATGGTCGTTTTCCAAAGGGAATTCTGTATGGTGAACTGGAAATAGGGAACAGACCTACAGGAAGGCCAAAGCTATTAAGACATATGCAAACGTGACCTGACAGATACCAACACAGACACAGAGACTTGATTTAAAAAAATCAGTTACAGATCGACTACTACAGAAAGTGAAAGACGGTATGTCGCAATTTTAAAGAAACCAAACGCAGCGAGCTATAGAGTGGAGACGCCAGAGAGAAAATCAGCCTCCTAGCGTGGGAGCATCTACTTTTGTGTGTATTTTCTGTGGCAGAGAGTGTAACTCACGCATCGGACTTTACAGTCACAGCAGATGCAGTTCTCTAAACAAGCGGCACATCTCCATAGTTCCTTGGGACTGACGGATGCTATTATTATTATACATTTTCCTTTTTGACTCGTGAGCGACCATATTTGGCACTGATAGCACAGACTGAATATACTTTGTATATGTTTTTTTTAAACGCTTATGGGGCTGTCTTATGCTGTAAAAGGGGCTAATGGAAAGGGGTTGGGGTGCTAGCTGTTCTGATACTTGGTTTTCTTTACTGCATCTGGTGTACATTTTTTTTTCGTCAGTTTACTGTGTTCGACGAATGTTATTTCAGATATTTAAAATCAGTTTGTCTCTTTAATATAACACATTTGCACTGTACTGATATATTTTTTTTTTTTTTTTCTTTGATCCTTGTAAGCTGCGACTTAAAGTCGTGGTTGTTCGTCCATATAAGCTTTGTTTTTGTGCCAGGGTCTAAGTGTCGCGTGTTCATCCATTTTACGTGTTTATTTGTGTGCGCTTGATTGTTCCTTGCCACTCGGGCGGATATACGACTTCAAAGAAAAATCTCACGTAGTCGACTGATGCGACGTGCTTGTTGGGGAGGCAGTGGGTTTATTTTTGTTTTTCCCACATTGACACTGACCCACTTCTCTCCTCGCCCAATATTATCAAGTCTCCATGCATGTCTAATTGTACATTCATCTTGTGTCATTCAAGACCTTCATCTTTACAGTCTTTGACTATTAGCCCTATCTATTGCCAGATGCAGCGGGTGTTTCTTGTCTACAGCTACTCTGTGATACGACTTTGCTTGCAGAACATTGAGCCTATCTGTAGTAGTCGGTAGTGCAAATATGTATCGCATAATACTACCAGGGTGTTTCTTGTACATCCAAAAATGACCTTCATGGCTTCATTCTGTTTACGTTCAAGTTACCATGTGAAAGAAATTTTGCAACGAAATCGGTTTCGAAAAATCTGTCTCATAATAAAAACAAAAAATGTGTGTTATGCCTGAGCTAATGAGGGACAACGGGGTGGTCCATTACATCCACGCGATGATCCATAGTGCCTTGTTCAACATCAGACAAACAATAGTAGATATCGTTAAGATAGTCGGATGCAAACAAAGTTGATGCTGTCCTGTGTAAATTTATCCTGCAGACTGCAAACAGAGGAGACAGCAGAGACCTGAGTGAGCAGTCAACTAAACAGTACACGACACTCACATGGCTAAAATGGACAGAGGGGATGACACAGTAATATCTTGACTGAATGCACAAGAGAAAACTGTCCAGATACAGCTTTGGGACCTGATGTCATTAGATACGCATAAATTATCCAGGATATTCAACAACGCCGTCATAAGTGCATTATCCCGATGATTGGCTACCTCAGACCAGTTCCTAAGCATGGAGAAGGTCACGCGAGAATTAGGGCTTCTGAATCGTCACACGCCAGAACACTAGGAAAAATCATTGGGGGTGGGTGGGGGGGGGGGTCCTGGCTAGAACAGTGGTCAATTCCAGTATGTGGTTTACCGAACCCGGGCAGCATTATTTGACAGAACAGTGTCGTTGCGCTATGGTGTACTGGCATTGAACCCGCGGCGTGTCCTAATGGGCCTGCCCGATGAATCACGTCGATTGTGATAACATGAAAAAACATAGCATTCTTCTTCTTCTTTTGCGTTCATCCGAAGATGTAATTGCGTTGTGTCCGTTTACAGCATGGCTGCGGTATTTGTACCTTTTGGCCAACACATCCGACTTCTGCAGGCATTTGTTGACCGGGTTAGCCTTCCCGGTTAGGACATGACAGTCTCATTGTTGTGTGGTAATCTTTATTTCCCAGGTCACAGGTGGTGCCCCAATCAAGCTGATCCAGAGAAGCCACATAATGCTGATCAGCCCTGAAGAAAAGGCAGGGGCAGAACATGAGCATTCCCCGCCATCCAAGGAGGCTTCTACAAATGCAGAGCTAATACATGGTGCTCTTGTACTAGGCTCACCCAAGGAATCGTAACGTCTGCTCATGAATGTTTAACCTCACTTCCATATATTAAACATCTCATACATCATGAGCTATCTCTTTTGTAGCCAACAGTATGCAGCCTGCAGACCTAAGATTTAATTTACCTACACTACAAAATGAGTACTTTGCTTCTTTTGCATGTTAGACTTTTACTGCAGTGGACTTCCTCGTTCATTATAGTTTTACGTGGTTTAAGAGCTCTGCATCTCTAGGGACTATCAGCTTCCTCATCCACTATAGTTTTACGTGGTTTATGAGCTCTGCATCTCTAGGGATCATCAGCTCAGAGAATCCCGGAGTTTTATTCTTATACCTTCAAATGTCAGTGTGGATATATTTGAAGAAATCACCAGTCAACTTGAGGTTGTTGACATCTCCACACAGTTTATCCTCAAAAGTTGCAGGTGTTAGCCAGAAAAAATTTCTCATATGGCATTCAAGAAGAAGCAATTGAGGTGAAGTGTAATTCAAGGGCTAAAGACGACTTCGTATGTTTAGGCTTGCATGTTAATATGGGAAGGAAGGGGATGAGGGGCGTATCCAGCAATGTGCCCTCGTGTTGTCAAGTTATCTATAAATGTCCTTTCGTCATTTTTATCCACACACCTTTGTGAATCTAGATTTTCAACTTTAAAACTTGATGGGGAAAGATCCGGTGTGCCTATCAGATAAAATAAAGCAGTATCATTGAGACAAAGCAGTGTCGATCATTACATTATCTGGATACTAAATTACCGGTTGTTGGTGATTGTTCTTTTATGTCGACACTTTGATTTATGTGGATGTTTTTCTCTAAGTTCTTTTTAATTGTGCTTGGATAATTATTTATGTCCTTGTCTTTTTAATCACATTTTTATTTTTAAAGTTTGGAAAAAAAGGGGGGGGGGGGGGCTGGAAAAGGTTGCACTAATCTGTACAATCAGCGTATTACTTGAGGACCAACTTGCATTGCTATTCTAAGTAGCTTCACGTGATCTGCGACATGTTTATAGCCGTCACATGACTTGACACTCGTCACATGACTTTACATTCAATTAGTTCTGACCCGGCATTTCTCGACCAGTTGCACTGTTGAATCCGCTTTGAATGCAAAATGTATTTTGAAAATATAAGTCGAAGAATAATAATTTATTGCGTATTTGCATGTACTTTTATTTTGTCAACGTCTGGACATTTATCTTTCATTAAAGAACACGCAGAACAAAAGAAGCGTAAGTAGCCTGCCAGTCACTCCTACCACCAAGACTACTACTATACTACTACTGTTGTAAAGCAAGCAATCGTATAACTTACAAAAATAATAAGTTCCTGAAAAGCTTAGTTGAAAACTTTATTAAATATTTTCAATTTTTTGAGAGGGGGGGGGGGGGCGCCTTCAGATAAAACATTAAATGTGTAATATAAATAAAGGGAAGCAGCATTCTGCTCTCGTTTTTTATTTTTTAAACTAGTAAAAAGTGAAACCTCTAGAAATTCATCACTAATGGAGGTCCAGTATTGCGAGTATTCAGAATTTAAGAAGTGAATATACAACCATAATTTTCTGCCAGGGCTTACAGCGGGGCAGTGCTAAAGAGAAGATTATACTTCTTTGTGTAATTTCTTCTCCAGCCATGACCTTCTTACTGTAAAGTTAAAAACCAAGATGTGAAGTCTTTAAAGTTACCTTCACATTGTTTATTCATCTCATCTCGTCATGATTCTCTTGTACCTTGCAGTGTTGAGTTGAAGTACACTTTATGGGAAAGCGCCCATTTTTTTCTTCTAATTATCCAGAAACCATGAGTTGTAAACCCTTTGGCTGGGTACTATGGATATAGCACCCCTTTGGCCTTGATTCCATGATAAAGTATACTTTGTGTACTTTGTAGATAGGGATTCCCAGGGACTCTAATTGCCTCTGTCCATCTCTTGCATGGTCGGCCTCTTCTTTGCTTCCCTCTTGGTCTATACATCATTGCCTGCTGTGGTATACTGTCTGCTGACATCCGCATTATATGGCCAAACGATTTCATCTGTTTTCTTCTAATGAAAGCCAGAGCTGTTGTTAGCCCCATTTTCATTTGGATTTCATCATTTTGATTTTATCTTCTCTTGTTATATTAAGAGCCCTTTGCAGAAATCTCATTTCAGTTGTAATTTTTTTTTTTCTTGTTTTCTGTCATTATCCATGTCTGGCATTGCTAACACAGGGTTTTAAAAAAATTTGTTTTATAGAGTGCTCTTTTGGTTTCTACCGATACATGTTTTGTTTCTTTTTCTGGGGTCATTTGCCCTATGTGTTGGTTTGCTTTGGTACATCTGTCATCAATCTGATCTTCTGATATTATGCATCCTAAGTATGTGACGTTCTTGCTTTTTTTCATTGTCCATTATTTTGCAGCATTCAGTAGTGTACAGTAAATGTAACAGATGTTTACTGTGTTTTATCCTGGAGCACAATTGTTTAGATGTAAAAGCTGTTCCATATTGTCTAATGTTGTTAGACCTTCAAGGTCACAGCATAAAGAGATGGTGTAACCATTTACTTCCTGGCTGCCTTTCATCGCCTGACAATTGTAACCATTATCTGATGTGCATTTGATGTGACTGGGTGAATAGCCTAGCAGCTGTGATCAGACGATAACATCTTGATGCTACTGAGGAATTAATTGAGACTTTTTTCGATAAAGTACGACACTAACTACCAGACCACTATGACAGTTTACAAGTTTATGGTACAAAGATAGTCACGTGACATTTGGATAGGAAATGTTAGGTCTTTGTGTATTCTATAACCACTGGATAATGTAGTAGCTGACCGGTTTGTTTACTTTCTGCCTCTGCTTCTTGGCAAATGCCCCAACATTTATGAATAGGATCTGATGTGCATTTTGGTGAATATGCCCCAAGCTTATAGCCATACTTGTCAGAGACAAGAATCACTGATACGAATTTCACCCTTACAAATATCTTGTTAGTGATTACACTAGCCGCTGTGCTACTCCAGCAGATATATAAAAGTTATAACAGAAACCAGAATGTGTCACTCCTCAGTGTAATTTTGTTGCTTTAATGCAACAGTCAAATATGAATTGAATGTGAACAACATCTGGTTGCCAGTATACAGTTGTCATTTGAAATTCAAAGACTCACCAAATACTGCAAACTACCCACACTCTGTACACTTTACGCAGTTTGTTATAGGATACAAATTTAAGCAGTAGCTCAAATACAAGTCTTATATAGGACAAGGATATGTACATTGTGAAACTATAGGCACATCTATGGTTGATGAGCTAAATAAGTTCATTCTGCCACAGCATCTAAACATTTTTTTTCCTTTGCTGTCATATTTCTTGATTTAATTTTTTTTTAAGTCTGGGTTTTCAGGCGAAGACTATTTTTTTTTAAACCTGTTTTGTACCATTATGTCAAACTACTACAATTTAACTTTGTAACCACCTATAAACTTATTCTTGGAAAATTTAACGAAGTCAGAAGAGAAACTAGATTATTATGAGATGGAGAGAATGATGTACATTGGTGTGACCAGAGGGTTCGGCTGGCACACTACGCTCAGAGGAAAGGGAAGACGGACATACAGCCAGACTGGGACTGGCACCATTAGTATTGGAACTCTGTGCTGGCTGCTGAGGATGGGGACAGGGTGCGTGTTGGAATGCCCCGAGTGCAGTGATGTCAATTCTTGACTCAACTCAACTCTTGGGAAATTGTTTTGCTACTTTTCCTTACATCCCACAGAGACTTTAAATGATATTGTATAACATTCATGTGCAGTTTGGTGTTGTAAAATTTATGTTTACTTTAGGGACAGTTGTCCACATGAGTATGACAGCAAATGAGCCACAGCAATCATGGGCTTATGTGACAGTTCGCCCTAAAGCCCATGTCTTTTACTGGCTGTATTACACAACCCATTCAAGTGGATTCAAGGAAAGGCCTCTCATTCTTTGGCTACAGGTGAGTTTTAGAATACAGGCAGAGCCTAATGTTAAACTGAAAAGTCTGTGCTGTATCAGTGTTCGAATGTGTGTCTATCAAATTAACGTCTGATGCTAATAATAGTGTGCTGTTGTTTTCGTCAAGTTGTTTTTTTACAACTCTCCAGAGTTTTTGTTTTCATCTCTGACCTGGTTAACAAAGTACATTTGCTTTCTTTCAGCTCTTTTATGTAAGAAGGTTATTGTGTTCAGGGATTAATCGCACTGTTAGCCTCCTAGAAAAAATGTCTTTAATATTATTTTTAAAGTCACAGTGAACACAAAATGTCAAACTCTTCTCAGTTCATTGGCACCATCATTTGCAATTACATGGTACTTGTAGGATATTCTTAATATTCACATTTGTGTGTCTGTATTATGAGTCAGAAATAGGAGTCTAATATTGATAAATTTGAATTTTTAGACATGGGTATTCTACACAAATGTTGATCAACCGTTACTTCGATGTCAAAAGCTAAATACAGCATTACTGTTTTTGATACAGTAAAGAACAGTTCTGAGCTAAAGATTTATTTTAAATGCCATCAAAGCAAATGGCAGTATCACCATACAGAAATCAACTGTGATACAATGACTGACCAAATAGACATTTAGACAAGGGTTTCTAAAAAACATAAAATCCTTAATCTGAATTTCAAAACTGATAGCAGTAACTTGTCTTGATGTTGGCTCTTGAATCAAGTGACAGATGTGAACCATACTAGACAGTCATTGTTAATACTGAAACACAGAAGGAAGCATACATGCTATAAATCTTCATCCTCAATTGTTTGCTGACTTGCATGAGCGATTGTGCCTCTTCACAGTCTGCCATCTGCAGCTATGAGTATAAGTTTTGTGTTGACACCCTTCAGAAAGGCTGTCAGGAATCCTCTAACGCTGTCTTCCTCTGTCTCTCTTTCAAAACATGTTCCAGTTTCCTTCTTTTAAAACAGTGACCCAAAAAATGATGACCATCTCTTTTAGATTTTTGTGATAAGTTGTCTTCAAGCCCTTACCTCTTTCAAAACATTTGGGTTGCTCTTTTTTTGGCTGTCCGAGGAATTCTAAGGATTCTTCTGTAAAACTACATATCCGAGCCTCAAGAAATTGTTTGGCTTGTTTATTAATTGTGCAGGGATCACAAACATATGTTAGAACTGGCTCTATATAGCATACACAAATTCTTTTCCTAAAATCTAATGACATGTATATTTTGCATAAAATGTTCTTTATTATATAAAATAGGATTTTGGCCTGTCCTGTTCTGTTCTTGTCTATGTGATAAATCTTCAGTCAAATGTTATCCATGTGAACAGATACTTAAATTTCTGTACTTTACCTAAAATAATGCTTTTGACTTTTATCATACATTTAGGTGCTCTCCTTATTTTGGATATCACCATTACTTCTATCTTCTCATTATTCAGACTGAGACCTATTTTATAACTTTCTATCTCCACCATATTTATCAATCCATGTAACTATAGATGAATGTAAATAATTTAAGAGGGATTAGGGACAACCTAGTTGGCCTGTAACAACAATTTGTCTGAATCTTTATAAAATGTGTTGACCCACTTATGTACCATTGTGTTGTGTGTCCTAACAAACACTTCTCACAGTTGTTGCTAAACATTGCTGTGTTAACAACCTTTGCAGTAGTCACAATTAACAAGTGTCCTCTTCTTACTTTGCATACTTTACACACTCCATGATAATGGTTGTCATTTTGTTATTGTTTCTTTTTTTTTTTCTTTATTAATCAGTTTGTAACTAACTTACTGATTTTCTTTCTTAAATATGAATGATATATTTGTTTAATATGTGACCCCTTGCATAGTTTTTATTGATTAACCTACAGCTTTTTATTTCAGGGGTTTGACTGGCATGTAGGCACCTAGTTGTACATCATCATCTACAGTAGGGTTGGGTTGGGTTAAGAACTGACATCACAGTACTTGGGACATTCCCATTAGCACTCCATCACCATCTTCAACAGCCAGTACAAAGTTCTAGTTCCCCTGATACCAGTAGTATCTGCAGTAGTTGCACACTTGTGAATAAAGTTAACATAGTCGTGCCAAATCAGCATTCGGCAGCTGTTATATCTAATGCTTTAACTTTAAGGACTTATCCAGCTTTTCATACCCGCTTCTGAAAGTCTTAATTTTGTGTTATGGTTCAAGTATGCTATAGGCAAAGAATATTCAACTCTTTACAAGCTTATCAGGCAATCACAGTTCAAATTTCATCGTAAACAGGTCACCCTGTAGTTGCTCTGCTCCTGTGCCAACAAAAACTATGCAGAATGCCCATCACTGTTTCTTGTCAAACAAATTGACATAGCCTGCAATCTTAACAAATCTAACAGCACAGACCTGCATTAAATGCATAAAGCAGCCGTCAGAAAGGCCAGCACAAACAGTTCAACACTGGAAATGCGGTTCTAAAGGTTTACCAGTATAGATACTGAAAGGATATAGCTCCATCACCCAGGTACTGAGCTGGGTACATGGCACAAAATTGATCTGCAGATTTCATTTGGAATGCTTTTTGACTGTGCCTAATATTGTTTATTCTGTGAACTGCAGATTCAGAAAATTACGAGCTGCTTACTGCTAGAAAATAGTTAGTGCATTATGCAATAAACGATGTCTGCATCAAATGATGGATGTAAATAATTTAAGTGGGATTAGTGATTAACTGCTGTTACCATCAACAACAAAACTGCATTTCCAGCTTTTCTGACTGCTGCTTTATGTATTTTATGCGGGTCTATGCTATTAGATTTGCTAAAATTGTAGTTTTTGTCAATTTAACTGTGCAGCATGTTAACATATCTAGTCATGTTTCTTTAGTATGTTCAAATCAAATGAAGAGGATATAATAATATGTAATATGATGCTTTATAGACACGGACAGCTGATCCAAACTTTGCATTGTTTAATAAACTAACAGTTGAGTTGATTCAAGAACCAACATCACAGCACTCAGGGAATTTGCATAAGCACTCTATCACTATCTTCAGCACTCAAGGCAAAGTTCAAATAACAATGCTGCCAGTAGCAGTCTGATTATATGTCCATTTTGCCTTTTGTCTGAGTGTTGAGTATTGGCTAGATCTCCTAGTCACTCCTGGCTGCATCCCTCTCACCAGACAGTGATGATAGCTTTTCTGTTCCAAACTGTACACATGCTCCCATAAGACCTTAACCTTATCATGCATGAGTATTCCACCAAGTGCAAAGCCAGCCAATCTGTCCACTTGTTCATTTCCCAACACATCGGCATACGCCGGAAAAAAATATTGACACAGTGCTCTTCACCCTTGACCTCCTAAGCGAAGCATGTCACTGAGCATGAAGCATGCCTGTCCTCACCTTCCTCTGCATGCTTACTGTGTCAGTTAGAATCATGATGTGTGTGTGTCATGTTCTCTGGCCAGCTGGCAAAGCTGTCTGACTGTGTCCTCTACCTAAGCTGTTCATTACTTCCCTCTTTTCAGTCGCAGACCCATAACTGCATCCAGCGCTTCATGCAAAGGGTTGTCTGTGTCTGCAGCTACTGTGAGATATGACTTTGCTTGCAGCACCTTGAGCCTACCTGCAACAGTCGGCAAACCAAGGATGTATAGCATACACACTACTGCATCTCTAGTACATCCCAAAATGACCCACATAGCTGTGTTCTATATGCTCTCTAGTTTAACCAGTTGACTCTTTGAGACAGTGAGCATTATTAGTCTATAATCAGTCACTGAGAGAACCAAGTGCTGATGTACTGTGAAAAGCAGTCTCTGCTCCATGTCTGCCGCAACCATAGTCTTAAGTGCATTGAGTCCCTTTTGCCATCTTGTTACAACTGTCTCCACATGGTCCTTGAAGGATAGGCTCCTGTCATATGTGATTCCCAGATACTTCAGTTTGCTCTCTGTTGATGTTTCTAGAGAACACCACAAAACAGACACCTTTTCTTGGTGAATGGCAGCACTCATTTATGTTCACCAGTCGGTCACTTTATCTGCTGTCACATCTATTATGTCTGCTACATTATGATATGTCTATCTTTAAATCTACAGAGAAACGCCCCCCCCCCCCCCACCACCCTTTTTTTTTGTTACGCACACACCATCATCTCTATAAATTATTCATACTGTCATAGACCAATCGTTTCTTTGCTAACAGTTAATGACAATGACAGTTGAAACATTTTCACATCAAGTGATGATATGTAATCATTTTTTCCACTATTCACTGTGGCAGATTATTTCTTTGACATTGTTTTTCCAAACACAAAGAGCATTTCCTGTGTGCTTTTTAAATTGTAGCCTTGTACATTCAGAACTCAGATATGCAGATGGCACATTCTCCTCTAAAATAGTGCAGTTCTTTTTCTTCTGCATCTGTCTTTAAAAAGGTTGGTACATTATTATTTTAGTTTACAGCTAGACTGAGAAAGTTTACAACTAGACTGAGACAGTTTACAGCTAGACTGAGAAAGTTTACAACTAGACTGTGACAGTTAGAAGCTAGACTGAGAAAGTTTACAACTAGACTGTGATAGTTAGAAGCTAGACTGAGAAAGTTTACAGCTAGACTGTGATAGCTGTGCCTTTCATACCAATGCATCTGATTTTAGCAAATCCCTGATTATTCAGCTTTTTTGATATGCTTGTTAAGGAACAGTGGATCTAATCTTTGATTCCCACAAATATGGGACTCCAGTATCCACACAAGGAAAAATAGTCCAGTGAGTTTAGAACAGTGCATCCTGTCTGTCAAGAGGATGATCAAAGTCGGTATCTGAACTTCAGGGTAAAAACCTACAAACATTATGTCCTCATAAAAAAAATTACGGTCCTGTACTGGAGAGGTTGATTTTTTATTTTGATGTCATCATGCTCCAGGAGCTAAATACAGACATATCATTGCCCTGGGTACGTCAGTTATATAAACCCTGTTGGACAGGAGAGACATGGACAAGGTCTGGTGGTGAAGGAGGGAGTGAAGCGTGTGGTGCTTGACTTGAGCCAGTGGAACCACAGTGGAAGAGAGGTTCAAGGGATACAGGTGGATATTGGTGGCTTAAGTTGGAACCTCATAAATATATATATATACCACGGTAGACTGTTTTGTCAGAAGTGAACAATGGGCTGGCTCAAGGAATTGGAGGAGTTACCAGGTGATAGGTTACTCATATGTAGGGATTTCAACATGAGGAACAGAGAATGGGACAGCAGTGGAGAAAACCGACAGGGAATTGCTTTTGCAGATATGGTCTGCATCAATGATGGGAGGCCGACTAGAATGGCAATGAGGTCTGGAGATGCAGACACAGCTACTGACTTGACATTTGTCTCTCAGTCGTCGGTTTTAGATGTTAAATGGACTGTCCTGAATGACCATGGGAGTGATCACCTACCATGTTCAGTCTTGATCTCTAAACTCAGTAAGGTTAAGGTTGGGAGAGCACGCAAGACCTTCTGGTATAAGTGGACCAACAACCTACTTGGACGCCTCAGACAGGGAGCATGCAACAGAACTGCCAGAACTAGTTTTCTGCAGCCCCTATGGTGGACTCCAGAAGTAGAACAGGCGTGGAAGGCAAAGAAAGCCGCAGTGAAGCAGCTAAAGAAAGTACCAGACACCCTCAAGCTCACGAGAGGAAGTGGAGATGGCGGAGAATGTAAAAAAAGATAAGGTGGAGGTTTTCAAGCGCTGTGTTGCAGAGGCCAAAAGAGCAAAGTGGGAAACTTTTGTGAATGATATGGGAGGCGATAAAACATAGGGAAAATTCTGATAACTGGAAAGGCAGATGCAAAGAAAAGATCGGCCTATGACAGTCGGAACAATTTGTAGAGACGATGGTGTGCGTGTGACAACAGACAAGGAAAAAGGGAAGGCTTTTCTCCATAGGTTTATAGCTCAGACAGATCATAATGATGTAGACATCAGGGATGCAGTTAGAAAGGAGTTAGCTGGCACCTTGAAGAATATGCATTATGAAGACATGATACAAGTGGAAGATATCAAACAAATTTTGAAAAAAGCAAAAGACACTGCACCAGGGCCTGATTGAGTCAGGAATTGTCACATGAAGGCTTTGAGCGATGTAGACCTGGCAGAGATGGCCGACTGTTTTAACCAGAACATTAAGACAACATCATTACCGCAGGATTGGGTGCACAACTATCTAATCCCACTAGCAACACCTTTTAAAGATCATTCTAAGCTCAGTGGCTTTAGAATCATCACCTTACAAAACACATTTGGGAAGGTCTTGGAGAAGATAGTTGCTGTAAAGCTGCAAGAATTTTTGGAAAGGGAAAGCTTCTCCCAAGAGGTCTGGGAAGCTACAGGCCTGGAAAGGACACTTGGGCAAATGCCGCCACTTTTGCTTTTGACCTCTATGAAGTTTCCAGAACAGACAGGAAACTAAGGCGGTAGGACTGGATCTCGAGGATGCTTATAACAGAGTGAGATACAACATCCTAATGACTGCACTGAGGGAGAAGGAGATCAGTCCATGGCTGGTGAATTGGGTTGCAGCTGTCCTGTATTCACGTCGGGTTGCTCTCCAACTGGGCTCATGGACCTCAGAACCATGTACTTTGGCCCCAGGACTGCCACAGGGATCCGCCAACTCGCCTGTGCTCTTTAACGTGTATACAAGCAAGATTGCAAGCCTAGAAGCATCAGGAGTTGGAAGGATACTGACTTTTGCGGATGATATACTTGCATATAGGCAGGGGGAAGAGAGGGAACAAACAGCCCGGGAGCTACAAGCGACAGTAGACAAAGTTACTGAGTGGTGTACAGAAATGAGGGCTGTCATCCACCCGGAAAAGGCGTCTGTTTTGTGGTGTTCTCTGGACAACAGAATCGTTAAAGCTAGTGTCCCAGGTCTCACAATAGATGGTAAGAACGTCAACAGAGAGGGCAAACTGAAGTATCTTGGAATTATATTTGACAGGAGCCTGTCATTTGAGAACCATGTGAAGAGTGTTGTGACGAGATGCCAAAAAGGACTTAGTACACTTAAGACTATGGCTGCAATTGACATAGAGCAAAGATTGCTTTTCACACTGTATCAGCATCTTATCCTGTCAGTGGTTGATTATGGCCTCGGAATGCTTACCGTCTCAAAGAGTCAGATGGACAAACTAGAGCGCATTCAGAACGCGGCTAAGCAGGTCATTCTGGGTTGCACCAGAGGCACCCCAGTGGTGTGTATGCTATACATCCTTGGTTTGCCAACGGTTGCAGATAGGCACAAGGTGCTGCAGGTGAAGTCATATCTCAGGGTAGCTGCAGGCAAAGACCACCGTCTGCATGAAGCTCTTGGTGCAGTTAAGGGTCAGCGGTTGATAAGAAGGAGGTCGTGGATGGCTCAGGCAGAAGACACAATCAGACAGGTTTGCATCCTTGAGAACATTAGGCGAGGAAAAGAGTGGGTCAAAGTGCCACCTGAACATTCAGACTTGTGTAGAGTCATAATCACGCTGAACCGGGAATGCAGAGACTGGCTAGCAGGTGCCACAGAGGTGGAAATTCAGCAATTAATTCAAGATAATGCTCGCTCAGAGGATTTGATCATTTACACAGACGGTTCAGTGTCAATGGCAAAAGAAGTGCTTGGGGCTTCTTAGCAAAAGTTAATGGTCAACGTTTGGTGCAGGAGAGCCTAGCATATGATACCACAACATCCAGCTTAAGAATGGAGGTGGAGGCGGTCACTGCAGCCTTCCACTGGTGGAATACTGATGCATGATAAGGCAGACGTGGTTGGTGCCTTGTGGGAGAGCGTGTACAGTTCGGAGGAGCAGATGGATCACCGGTCTGGTGAGATTAATGCAGCGGGGAGTGATGAGAGGTTCTGGCAGATGCTCGAGGCTCAGAAGGAAGACAAGACGGACATTTAATCAGAATGATACTGGCACTGTTAGTATTGGAACTCTTCGCTGGCTGCTGAAGATGGGGGCGGAGCCCTTATGGGAATGCCCTGAGTGCTGGGAGGTTGGTTCTTGAATCAAATCAAATCAAAAAAATTATGTCGTTCTTAAATTACAAACATTGAGCAAATTTAAAATATCACAGACTCATTATCTTGGGTCTCCAATTAACAGCTTTGAATTTTGTTTTGTGTCCTTGGTAGTGTCCCATTCCATGAGTACATAATTCTGGTGGATTCCTGATCATTGTAACCATTTAGATTGGAGACAACTTATAGACCTGTTCAAAAGTCAATAAAAATCAAAGGGACAGACTTTGAATGAGAGCAGCCCAACAAATTTTCAGAAACAAGAAAATATCAGACTGAACGTGTTTTGATGAAGTATGAAATGCTTCAGTTAAACATTTGTGGAAAAATAAATGTCAAATCAGTATCAATCTCCACCTTACATTTCTGCAAATATTGTTCTTTAGATATGAAGCAACTCACTGTCTTTTCTTCAAGTGCTTTACAGTGTAAAGTGCTAGAGAAAAACTTCTTCAATGGCTTCCAGTGGGTGCTAAATCATTCTTTGAGTCACCGTAACAGCAGCAGGGGGTCTGTGCCTTTATGAGAGTAGCATTGGGCCGGCAGTGGTAGACAGTTCAGCAATATTATGATTGTTAATAAAAACAATAACAACAGGTGCTGGTAATCATATATAACATGCTGTAGATTTGTTGTTTCATTATTATGTGTCACAAACAGGGTGGTCCAGGTGCTTCTGGGACAGGCTATGGTAACTTTCAAGAGATAGGTCCACTGAATGTTAGTTTGAATCCTAGGAACACAACTTGGGTAAGTGTAGATGATGGTAATAAATAATTTTTAAGTTTCTAACATTTTTAAGGTCACATTTATATCAGCTTCATTTGCTAAGAATTATTTTCCCAGATTGCATGTGAATGGTAAAGACTTCTATTTTTGTTTTAAAATGACATTTAAACTAGTGCAAGCAAGTGTTGATAGTTATAATTATCAGAAAAGTACACAGATGAGTGATATGACATTAAATAACTTAAAGAGAAACTTTAAATATTTCATTATTTTTTTTTCTGAAGGATATATCAAGGTCTTTGAAGCAGACTCTTTTTAGAACTTAAAATGGTTGCCCAGATCGAGATCTGCCAAGTCCCATCTCTGAGTGTTATCTCTTGCCCAATCTTCACAATAGACATATCCTAAATAGCATCTAAATATTGATGAAATGGATTTCAAAATAGTAAGAACATATATTGAAAGTTATTGGAATAAACAACTATTTCAGCACCTAAAGTTAGGTGTTAGGGGCATAAGGATTTCAGCATGAATAGCAAGAATATAAAGGTAATGATTTCAAGAAACAGATCTGGCCAACATGTACACTGGGATTGAAGAAGTGGGAAAGTTTGACATTCTCTGCAGGCTTGATCATTGTGAAGATAATAATCGATTTCCAGAAGTCTCCAAATGGCAATTTGCTACCTGACCCTGGATCCTTGATTTCCATAATTCTGCATCATATTTTTAATGAAACTTGTTTTTGCAAAATAGGCTGTCACATTTATTGTATTCATGCTTCTGATGGTTTTTCAGCTGCAGACAGCTAGTCTGTTGTTCATTGACAATCCAGTTGGATCAGGATACAGCTATGTTGATGAAAAAGATGCCTATACTACAGATGTGGCTCAGATCTCTGCTGATTTACTGGCTGTTATGAAAGCTTTCATAAAGTCAAATCCGGACTTCAGTGTTAGTATTTTTAGCAGCTTTGTAGATTATATTGAATTAGTTAATTAGACACTCGATTACATGTGATTTTCTTCCACTCGCGACTCATACGGCACGGTCAGCTCAGTCAGGATGGGGGTTTCTCTGTAGAGTGTAGGACTATGTCAGGTCGCAGGCCAGTCTTCCGAATTAACTCTGGGTACTTCTCGCAACCAGGCAGGTTGACTGCTAGTAACCAGTCCCTCGCACAGTCAAGTATAGATGAAGTGTATGCGACCTTGTTAAATTTACCTTTATAAATCTGCCCAACCTTGAGGAAGTGTATGGAGGAAATTAGTAGGACTGGCCCTCTCGTTTTCCCTCATCCTAGCTTGGTCCACAATGTCCGATAACTCCTTTAGGACTTTATCATAGTGTCAAGTATATCGTTCCTGGACTAGGGCTTTTCTGAACACTGTCAATACGTGCTTGAGCGTCTGCTTAGCTCTTTACAGTGGGCATGTCAGGTCAGTAGTCCCATGCAACTTTATATGTTGACGCCAGACAGTAACTCGTCGTACGCAGATCTTACAACAGCTCAGCCACAGCTGGGCCATTCACCAGATCTCATCCCATGTGAGTATTCGTTTCAAGGTGCTCTTGAGGCCGATCCCCTGGCCTTGCAGGGCTGCTTTTTGGGCCTGAGTCTCATTTTCGGAGGACCTTATCTGCTGCATTACTATGTCTCGGCACTATTTGGCCCACCAACTGACTTCCCTATGCCCTAGGCCACGTGGGTCGGGGTGTGTGTAACCAATGACTTCCTTCAGTTTCAGTTCATCTTGGGCAGATTCTGTCTTAATTCTTGCCAGGATTCTCCCGGGTTGTCTCACTGCTCATCTAGACAAGGGTCTACTTACTGAAAGTCAGTGTGGTTTTGGAAAAGATCATGGAACTGTTGATATGATTTTCGCTGCAAGACAGCCGCAAGAGAAATGTCAAGAGCAGAATTTGAACATGTTTTCCACCTTTATTGATCTTACGAAAGCTTTTGACACACTAAATTGAGAGGGACTGTGGAGAATTCTGGAGAAATTTGGTTGCCCACACAAGTTCAGCCAGATAGTGGGTCAGTTTCATGATAGCATGCAAACAAGAGCGCAGGATAATGGCGAGTCCTTTCCTGTCACAAATGGAGTCAAACAGGGCTGTGTGCTTGCACAGTCACTGTTCAGTCTGTTACTTTCAGCCATGCTGACTGATGCCTTCGTAAATGATCACACTGGAATCGACATAAATTACTGCATGGATGGAAAGCTGTTCAATCTCAGGAGGCTGAAAGCAAAAAGGAAAACTAAACCAGACACCATCACGGAGCTCCTGTTTGCAGATGATTGTGCCCTTTATGCCAACACAGAAGCGGATATGCGGCACAACATCGACAAATTCAGTGATGCCTGTACAAACTTTGGACTCAACATCAACAAAGATAAAACTGTAGCCATGCACCAGCCAGCCCTTAGGGCAAAGATACATCGAGCCCAGTATCACAGTGAATGGCTACTGATTAAATGTCAGGAAATTTACTTATCTAGGCAGCACCCTTTCACAGAGCACCACAATTGATGACGAAGTAAATGTAAGTACTCTGGGGCTAGCATTGACTCTGGCAGATTGTACAAAAATGTTTGGAACAGAAGTGGCATAACAATTACTGTATACCAGCGCCACAGTCTGCCTTAGAAAACTAATGTAGATAAGATGGCAAGACAAAATACCTGATACAGTAGTCTTTGAGAAAGCAGCCATGCCCAGCATCCACACTCTACTGATGCAGTATCAAATTCGTTGGGCTGGTCATGTGGCACGTATGCCAGATCACAGGCTCCAAGAAAAACTCTTCTATGGTGAGCTGCAAAATGGGAAGCGCTCCCAAGGCGGGCAAAAAAAAGGCTTTAAGGACACCTTGCAGTCTTCACTGAAAGCATTTGGGATGAATAACGCCAATTGGGAGGCTTTCTCTCAAGACCGAAATGCATGGCGTGCAACTCTACACAAGGGCGCGGCTACATATGAAGCAAACAGAACAGCAAGACTGATTAAGAAAAGGATGAGCAGAAAGGCCACTGCAGGAGATCCTCTCATTGGCACAACACTCATTCCCTGTCTTCACTGTCCAAGAACTTTTTGGGCCTCATTGGCCTCATCAGTCATCTTTGTACTCATACTTGATGTAAAAGAGCAGTCATCATCATCTTGGTGGACAACACACAACCCATGACTTCCTTCAATTTCAGTGCATCTTGGGCAGATTCTATCGCATCTAGGACCTTCTATTTCTTGCCTGTCTTTAGAGTGGGCTGGACAGCTGCCACCTTGGGATCTGAAGATTCGCGCATCATCATCGCAAGTCTTACCTTGCCACCTCTAAACTCTTCGGTTATTGACTTGAACGGATGTACTAGCTTAGCCTGCTTACAATACAGAACCACATCAGTCAGAAAAGGTGATGCCCCAAGCCATTTCCTCATAGCGGTTTTGATTTTCCAATCCATCTTTTCCGCTGCCGTAATTGTCACTTCATTTACGATCGGCGGCCAGAGCAGCTTTGGTATCAACATAAACTGGAGACACTAAACCTTAGACTTCCCAATCAACCTGCATGGCTCGATTGCAAGCAAGCCTGTAGCCAATGACCCATGTATGCGCCGGACTTCCGCTCTATCAGATAATTTTAAATCGTAGACGCGGCCAAGGCTCTTCAACGGTTTCTCCAGTACCGTTGGGTTTTGATTCTTTGCCACCATAAAAAATGACTGCTGCCACCTTACCTTTAAGGATTGACAAACTACTTGATTTCTGCTGTTTGAACTGCATTCCACATCATTTGACAACGCTGTCAAACCTTTTTAGAATCGTGCAGACATCTTCTTCACTGCCTGTTAGTATAGTTTTTTCATCCAAAAATGCACATAGTGGCAGCATCCAATGGTTCCCAATCTGCAAGCCTTGCCAATATCGAGCAGCCCCGTCTAACATGACCTGCATGGCCATAATAAACAGTATCGACAAGATCGTACATCCCATTGGTATCCCAACGTGGAGCTCAGTCCATCTCGTAGTAAACGTCAGAGTAGAGAAGTGTATGGCGAACTTTGAGAAATATTGCTTGATCATTTCGGAGATCTGTGTCGGTACATGAAACACACGAAGGGCCTGCCACTGCAGCTTATGGGTTACCGCCCCATATGCATTGGCGAGATCCAACCATATCACGTGTAATTGGGTTCTCTCTGTCTTAGCTCTCTGAATAGAACCCCAGATCATGGTCGCGAGTTTAGGGCACCTGGGAACGCCTGAGATACCACTTTACTGAACAGACATATCGATGTATTTGTTCACCATCAAATACTCTGTGAGCCTGCGAGTCATCACTGAGAAGAAAATTTTGCCCTCAACATTCAACAGGGAGATAGGTCTAAATTGGGACAGACTCAAGGAGTCTCGTTCCTTGGGAATGTAGACCCGTTGGCTCTCTGCCACTGAGAACATATGTTCGTTGGGCTCCACGCTAATCTTGGCAAGCGGTGAGGCACTCAGAGGGCTTTCTGGCAGCACTTGTACACGACGTACGGTACACCATTGGGCTCTGGGACGGACTTGCCGCTCTCTCTCTTCACAAATTCTTCGACCTCAGATCAAGAGGAAGGCATCTTTTTAAATTGTACCTTCAGCAACTCTAGCTGCTTCAGGCCGCTGGTGATTTCTGGGTTGTCATCGAAAGGTTCATTCCTTGTCTGATTGGAGTACATCTTCAGTAAATGTGACTCCAGCTCCTCTTTACCGACCACCAGAGACCCAGACTTTGGTTGCTCGAACAGACTTCGGTCAAACTGGAACAGGTCCCTAAAGAATTCCTGTCGTTTCCTTTTGGTTCGCGCTCTGTTCGTATCAAAATTCTCAGCGTGACAGAGAGCATGGTGTGTCTGGCTCTCAGGTGCAACCAGACCTCGTACAGTCCCTCCAGTACGCTGCCTGTAGCGGCTTTCAACCATTTTCTGATTGCGTTCTTGTCTGCTGTGCACTTTTCAGTGTCCCTTAGCCTTCTGCTTTTCTCTTGCATGACGCCCGATTGCATCTTCTCGACTTTCCCGAACTCACGGGAACAGTGATCGTATATTATGTCACCAAACCATGTTAGCTTGTCACCTAGCGACTTTTTCCTAATATCATTGTTAATTTTCTCACAAAGTGTACCCTCCAGCTTGCACAACACATAAAGGTCTCCTAATTTTGACAGGCTTGAAACCTACTGTTCTAGTGAATGCAGAGTTTTGGAGGGAATTTTCACAAACCTTTTGTTAAGGGCTTTAGATGCAGATGAATTGAGCCAGGTATTTAAAGTAATACATTTTTTTTTTTTACATATTACACAAGTTTAGCCCTTTTACTTTTTAAAAAAAAATTTTACCACTTTTGCAGGATCTGACAAAGTTCTGGAACAACCTGAAGTCTTCTTCTTCTCTTCTTCTTCTTTCGTTTGCCTGAAATAAGTTGTCTATATCAGCAATTGTGTCTCTTGTATAAATTTCACTGTCGTTGTTAGTTCATTCAGTGGTCCATAGAGTTTACGTCCCACTGTTGTTCTTTCTGGCCAAAAGGTTTGCCTTAATGTGTCAAATTGGGTGCAGTCCTGGAGTATATGCTCTGCTGTCTGGGGCGCCTTTCCACAGGTTTCTGCATCATAGTTATGGCAGTACTTTCCAGTTGGTATGCTGGACTTATCCCTAGTACCATCTGGGAATTCTATGTACACTCCAGTCTGTATACTACATTAAACTGTTGTTTCAGTTATGCCATTCTCAAGTGCACACGTAAACATTTTTCCTTGTATGTGATAATTGCTATCCGTGGCGCACTCACTATCCGATAGAAATTGTGATACACAAAATATGACTCTCGTCATTCATATAGATGCATTTTATTATTCTGTCTCTCCTTATCAAGTAAAGTAAATGATCCAGTGCCTTTTAGATGTCATTTGGCTAATTCAGCTATGTTCTTCTTTGGCTGTTTTATTAAGGTAACACTGCTGTTTATCGCCTTCTTCAACAATATATGCAAGGATACTATGCTCAGAAACTGCAAATACTAGTAAGATCAATCTGGTAATCCTAGTTTCAGCTTCATTGCAAACAGGTCACCCCATAGTTGCTCCGCTCCTGTGCCTTTGAAAAGCACATGTAGCTCACAGTGTCACGTCATGCACTCAGCTCAGAAGCTGGACGACGGAAACTATATTCTTCCAGTCTACAAATGGAGCAAAAATGCAACAGCCACCGCCTGGCAGAAGAAAAAAAAAGTCATATTCCACGGCTTAAAAAAAAAAAATTTAAAAATAAAAAAATAAAAAAAGTGGCCGTGCCTAGCGTCCATTTTGACCTGAAGCATTATGTGACGGTTAATAAATGGTCACCCCAGCAGTACCCTCACTATTAGTTTGGAAAGGGACTTAGGACATTACATCCACCAGCAGGCGTCCCCCCTACAACGACCTGACTGCCTTCGTTAACGACTGTTCACCCAACAACCATGCAGTTCTTTGGCACGAAGGAGACACCTTGAACTTTGGTTTCGGAATGCAGACTCCCTACGAGATGTTATTTTATGTTTTGTTATCACAATCGACGTCACTGCACATTGGGCATACCCATGTGCGCAGTCATCCAAAGCAGCAGCCACTCCAAAGTACTTCTACTAATTGTCCCCATGAGAAGCTGGTTATATTGTCTCCTTTCTCAGCCTCGAAGACGGCAAAGACGTGCTTCACTATGCTTAACTCCCATGTCATGCAATCGGGTTAGTATCAGGGATTCGTCATTATCCACTAGCCCAACCCATACAGCGTTGACGATATCTGCTCTGTCCATGCTTTTTCCCGCAGTCATTAGTGCGGTGCTTGCCAGTTTGTCCGCTCGCTCATTTCCCTTTACGCCCGCATGACTCGGTGTGTAGATCCAGGTTACGGAGGTTAAGTGCGATTTCCGAATGCTTTCTATCCATTCAGAGCGCATACTGCCTGTTGCTATCTTCTGAAGCATATTCATTGAGTCTGAGACAATTACTGCCTGTGTGGCGGTTTGCTCGGATACCCATGCTAAAGCTCTAGAAGCAGCGGCAATTTCCATGGTCTTGCTTGACGTGGTTGTCTGGTAAGCGCCGCTGTCCTCATGTATTGTTTTCCCCCTTCTTTGCGCTGTGTATGCCCATGCTGACCTTGATCCGCGCTTAACGGATCCATCTGTGTAGATGATGATATCTTCTGGGTCTGAATACTGATCTATCAGTTCCCTTACTTCTGTGTCTACGGCCACAGGAATTTGATCCTTGCAGTACCTTCCGAGTGTAATGACAACCTTAGAGATGCCATGCATGTCTACTGGTGTGGAGTGTGAGTAAGATCAATGAAATACTCTTTGCTGATGACCAGACTTTGATAGCAGATTCAGTCATGAATGAAGAATATAAAAATTATTATATGAGCATCAACATTGAAAAGACAGAATCAGTGTTAGTAAGAAAAAAAAGCATAAACTAAATATAGCAGTTAAGTGCAAAAATCTTAAACAAGCATCTGCGTTAGAATATTTGGGAATGATTATCTGGGAACAAAATTCCTGAAGATGGGATATTATGAGGGGAAGTCAAAATAAATGGCTCTTTAAAAAAAACTAAACAGATAACCAATTGAAAACTGTTTATTTTTACACATAATATGTCCCTTTATTTTTCAACATAATTTCCACCAATATTGATGCACTTGTCCCATTGTTTTGTCAGTCCTCCCAAACCTGCTGCATAGAACTGCATACTCTGTTATCTTAACCACATTTTAACTGGGAACCCTCCTTGCGCACACTTTCTTAAATTTCAATCAGTCATGCATTATGTTGTATGCTAAACCTTGTGAGCACCCTATTGCAGCTGCAGAACATGAAGAAGAAAAAGAAGATAAGAGAACAATTTGACACAAAATCAGACGGTTTGCCCCTTTTGCCACTTTGAGAGAATGCCTTGGGACGAGGAGAAGGACATAGAACACAAGGTAGACAAAGAGTAAGATAGAAAGATAACAGAGAAACTCTACAAAAGCATGATGTGTCTGTGATTAGGCAGCCAGACGAGCAAGAAACAGAACGTTTTATCTCCCTCAACACCTGAAGCAGTAAAAGAGGAAGTGAAGAAGAAGAATCAATCTATGCATAATGTTTGTGATAATAACATAATATTTAATATAAAAATATCCTATGTTTAACAGGCAACTCCATTCTACATCTTTTCTGAATCATATGGTGGAAAAATGACAGCAGCTTTCAGTGCTGTTTTGTATGATGTAAGTTGTCTTGCACAGAATATGTGTATTATTTCTATATAAAAGTGTATATAGATGTTTCTGAGATATTATAACAGCACACTTAACTAGCGTGAGTCTGGGGTTTTGTCATCAGAAATAAATATCAAGTCAAATCAAGATAATATGTGTAATTGTGCTATGTACACTGCAGGGTAAAAGAAATTTTAGAGAGGTAGTGGAGCAGACAAGCTGAGAAACATATTAAGGCAACAGATGTAGTGTTTGGGGAAAGAGCCAAAGTACAAAAGAAACAGAGATAAATTAATGGCGTAAACGTGAGTTGATTTATATAACATGCGGCCGTGGTAGTCAGTGGGTTAATGATACTAGTCTATAGCAAGTCAGTGTGTTCAAGTATCTGCAAACTTTTATAATAGCAAATGGTGAAATGTAGAATAGATCAAGCAGAGCAGTGTTTTACAGAATAAAAATATTTTATGCCGTATACTTTTGCCAAATAAAGTTCTTAAAGGCAGTGTTGAACCAGTCCTAATATACAGAAGTGAATCACTGACAATCAGCAGATCAGTAAAAATTAAGTGAGAGCTACAGAAGTGTTGTTTTATTGGAAGAATCAAAGAACACACAAGCAGATAAAATATAATAAAGATATCTCTAAAGAAATTAATTCTCAAAAAGAACGTGTTACCCATATCAGAGAACAATCCACATTGTTTGAACTCATCATGAGAAGGGAACAACAAGAAATAAATGGTTAACTGAGGCACGGTTGAACCAATAGAGAGGATGTTAAACAGTTTAACATCATGTCACAGAGAAACACATTTGTCAGAAATTATTGGCTGTAGTTAATGAGGCTGTAGACAGACACCAACATCAAATGGTATAGACTGTAAGAAGAAGAAGCTCTTGAATCCTGGATGATTCATCAAACTCTGTTTTTGTTTTAATAAATGGCTTATATAACATAATTATCCTAATGTCAATTTCATTTGAGATATTTCACCAATATATTAACCTGTCCGTAATATAAATCTAAAAATTGTCTGTGTATCCTCTTCTCATTGATTTGTTGATCTAGAGTTATTCTCGAATATCTGCTAGTTGTTGCTATGCATATACGCAAATTTATGCAAAATTTATGATATCCAAACCGTTTTGTTCTATTAATTGGTATCATCTTGTAATCAGCTATTTTTCGAAACATTCTTAATCAGTACTGTAGTTCTTTATACACTTTTGTGTGTGTGTAGGTCCTCCATGCTGCAGCATCATGTTTACATAGTGGTCATTTGTTCATGTCTGTCAATGTCTGAAGTAATTAATCCTTGTAATAAAATGCATCAGTGATAGTACTGCTAAGCCATCATGTCTCAGTGTGTTTTGTTACATAATATTAATAATGATCATTCTTTGGTCTGTTATGCATGACTGTAGGCAGCTACTAAAGGTGACATCAAGATTAACTTCAAAGGATTAGCTCTGGGTGACTCCTGGATATCTCCTGTGGATTCTACCAATTCCTGGGGTCCTTATCTCTATGCAACAGTAAGTACACCAGCAGTGTTCTTACTGTGATAATCAAATGCTGTTTTGTACGAGGGGAAGTCAATAAGTAAGTCACAAATCGTTGTTTAAAAAAAAAAAATTAAGATGATAGCAACTTGAAAATTGTTTTTTTTTACGCATACACTGCCCCTTTATTTTTCAACATAATTTCGATCAACATTGATGTGTTTGTCCAATCATTTTATCAGTCCTCCCTTACCTGCTGCATAGACCTGAGCGCTCTGTTTTCTAAACCACGTTTTTCACTTAACATTCAACTTCCGCGTCACTCGCTAAATGTCTCCCGCCAGGGTGGGTTTTCATTAGACCAAAAAGGTGGAAATCAATAGAAGCTGAGTTGTATGCTGAACCATGTGAGCTCCCTATTTTAGCTGCTATAGACAGAGTCAGCCGTTACTTGCCTTTCACATGCAATCATCTCCTCCACCCACTGCATGGAAGCATCTGTTGCAATCTCAACAGGACCACCATATCGGATTTTATTGACAATTTCAAAGCTTCCTTGAGAAAAAGTTATAGTACAACTAACCTTGTCTGGCCCAGGCACACCGTCATTGGCCATTCATTTATGCTTCCTCACCTTTCACATGTGCTACTCTCTATTATAGGAGGGGTGTCAGGTTGAATTGTCTTTGACGCTCTCACCGATGATGTTGCATGCTCTATATTACGCAGCGTGACCGCTTTTAACGACCCCAGATATTTTATAAATAGCCCTATCCTTCCCCCTCCCCACAGCCTCAGTCTATGTCCCACGAGAGACTGCAGCCTACATCCCGTGGTTTCAGAACTGTTACAATTTTGCGGTCGGTCGTCAACACTGACAATTGAAGTTATCGCATGTTGTACTTGAAGTGCATGATAGCTAGAATATAAACAATGTCTCTGGCCCTCAGAACAATGAGTAAAACACAAGGTGTGCCTGAATTTTGAATGTTGAATGAGGAATTGACATCACAGCACTCGGGACACTCCCATAAGCGCACCGTCCCCCTCTTCAGCAGCAAGTGAATAGTTATAATTCCGATGGTACCAGTAACAGTCTGATTGTATATCCATCTCGCCCCTCTCCCGAGTGTTGAGCGTCGACCAGATCCCCTTTTAACTCCTCGCAGTGCCATCCTCTTTAGACCGTAATGATCTATCTGTTCCTTGGCACTGTTCACTTGCTCCCAAAGGGCCCTCACAACATCCAGCTTGTCATATATCAGTTCACCACCAAGTGGTGCAGAACTGGCCATTCAATCCGCCTGCTCATTTCCCAACACAAGATGTGCCTTGGTGGTCATATGACACGCAATATATACATAGCAGAACACAACCTGACTTCCCCATAACTTGGACTAGCACATGTGAAAGATCAGGAAGCATGAATGAACGGCCAATGACTGTGGGCCAGACAGCATTACTTGTAGCAAATGTTTTTTACATAGCTATGTATCGCTTTACTGGATAAACATTTGTCAGCATAATGAATGTCCTTGCCAGCCTTTTGCGCCCCAAAAATGCACAGCAGCACCTTGTTCTGTAAGGTACACTCTGTAAGTACCGCCGCCATTTTGTTTTTGTGTTGCAAATGTGCATGCAACACCTTGTGCCGCCTAATAAGGTTCGAAGTTACTGTCACCTAATGACACCTTTAGAAACCACCAATTACATTTTTTGACCATCCCATAACTATTTGCGACCTACTTATTGACTTTCCCTTGTAAAAGACATTACAGCATTTAAAGAATACATTGAGAAAATAGTCAACTGTTAAACATTCAAAAAGGGTAATCTGTATTGCTTAAAGTATGAGGCATATGAGTATAGTGCCAAAAATACTAAGAGGTAAAGAAAACATCCAAAGCAAAACTAATTCACACCAGGAATGTTAGGGCTCAGACTTAGGCTGAGCTGAAGAGTGTTGATGAGAACATAAGACAGTGGAGAGACATGACAGACAATTTCAGCACAAGCCCTGGTACTGATGAATAAAAATGTGGTAGTCCCAAGATGAAAAAGTCTTACATAGACTTTGAAAATATTCACAGATAGGGCAACTAAATAGTATTCAGACAAAGCATCTTCCAAGTATGCCGGTTACATGTACACGCAATACATCCAATGTGATGGCTTCATAGGAATGTTGAATTAAAAATCAACATCATAGCACTAGGGACACCCCCATTACGGCTCTGTCCCCATCTTCTGCAGCAAACAAAGAGTTCCAATTCTGATGGCACCAGTAACTGTCTGATTGTATATCCTCGCCCTTCCCTTGAGTGTTGAGCTTCGGCCAGATCCCATGGTAACCCCTCGCAGCGCCATTTTACTAATGATCTATTTGCGTTTCCACACTGTTCATTCATTCCCAGAGGGCCCTCACAATGTCTAGCTTGTCATACATCAGTTCACCAACAAGTGGAGCAGAACTGGCCACTCTATCTGCCTGCTAATTTCCCATACACCGGTATGACCTGAAGAGAATATCCAAAGGATATTTCCTACCCGGGAACTCTGAAATGATTCTTCCTATTCTGCACAGAGCATACCTATCTCCACACTTCTCAGCATGCTCTGTGAGTAAGTGAAAATCACGACATGTGTGTACAGCTGATTCTCAAGCCAACGGAAGGCAGCAATGACTGCCTCCACTCCCATTCTCAAACTAGATGTTGTGATATAAAATGCCAGACTTTGTTGCACTAAGCGACATCCATTTGCCTTTGCTATAACCTGGTAATCTGGTAATCCTATAATAATAATATATTAAAATGCTATAAACCCACATGCACTTTGTCCACCCCTCAACACAGAGTCATCTGTACAGATAATCACATCACTTGGGTGGAATTTTCATGAATCATTTGTTGAACTTCTGATTCTGCAGCACAAGCTGGCCTGTCCTTATGCTCAGGACCCAAAGTAATAAGAACCCTGCACTAATCTGAAACTTGCTCAGGGACTTTGACCCACTCCTTACCTGACACAAATTTATCCAGCCTGCACACATGTCTGATTGTGTCTTCAGTTTGTGCCATCAAAGACCTTCCAGTTTTCAGTCTTTGACCCTTAGATCTAACCAGGGCTTCATCCAAGAGGTGCTTCTTGTCTGCAGCTACTCTGAGATATGACATTGCTTGCAGAACTTTGCGCCTATCGGCAATAGTAGGCAGTGCAAGTGTATATATATCGCATTCACACTGCTGGGGCATCTTTTGTATATTCCAGAATTACTGGCATGGCTTCATTCTGTATGCGTTCAAGTTTCATTAGCTGACTCTTTGATATGGTAAGCATTCCAAGTCTGTAATCTATCACCGACTAGATCACATACTGGAACATTGTGAACAGCATTCTTTGTTCCATGTCCATTACTGCCATAATCTTGAGAGCATTGTGCCTTTTTGGCATTTTACCGCAACTGCCTCCACATGATCCCTATAGGACAGGCTTCTATCAAAAGTGATACCTAGGTACCTCAGTTTTTAATGTTATTGTTATTAATTGTGAGGCTTGGAACATTAAATCTTACAATTCTATTGTCCAGAGAGCACCACAAAACAGGCGACTTTTCTGAGTTAATGACAGCACCTAATTCTGCATACCAGTCAGTCCTTTTGTCTACAGTTGCCTGTAGCTCTTGGGCTATCTGTTGCCCATCACTCCCCTGCCTATATGCAAGAACATCATCAGAAAATGTCAATATCCTTCCAACAACTGGTGTTTCAAGTTCTGCAATCTTTCTTGTATACACATTGAAGAGCACTGGTGAAATTGCAGAATCCTGGGGTAGTCCTGGGGTGATATTACTAGTTCTGAGGTCAATGTACCCAGGCAAAGGCAATCATATGTGAAGAAACAACTATGAAAAGATTCATAGGCTAATTTGATTGTTATGCCGCTAGGCAAGTGGTGTAGCAATCCTGACTGCACAGATTTTGGTTCTTGGTTTTCTGGATGTATTCTGTTGAATAAAGTATGGTTGATGATATGCTCATCTTCATGTTTTTGATCTTGGATCCACTGGATTAGCAGTGTTTGATTTGAAAAAATGTAGTACTGCAGTGTGGGGCATGTACGCCGAAGCAGTGGACCATCTTGCTGACTAGAATAGGTTGACAGCATCCAAAAGTCCATCCTCAAGAAACTGTCCTGACTGTACACACCAAGACATGCTCTGGAGAAAAGAAATGAAAAGGCTAACAGACTGGCCGTGTCTGCACCGGTTAATGGAGGAAGAAGTATGGACAGGACAGATGTACTGAATGTGCTTCGTTTCAGAGAAAAGGGAAGGAGATATGATGAACCACCTCTCGGAAATGGATATTAAATGAAGGCAAATATTCAGAAACTTTTTACAGGGCAAATAAAGATGATTTACCATCAACTCCTCCTGGGTACAGTGAGCATAGATACACTGATATGGCTGTATGATAGAGCACGAGTGGGTTGGGCCGATTTGCTAATATGTTGATACAGACAACAGATATCAAGATCTTTCTCACTAGTCACATTCACTTATATGAGCAAACCCTGTATGCCACATCTTCAGAGAGCTGAAGAATATAATTTTCCTTCTGATATCACAAGACACTATTATATGGTGCATGTTTTAAAGTCGGCAAACCAGACTATCTCTATATCTGTGCAGACAATGATTGCGACATTAACTAAATTTGACCAATTCACATACTTATGATTTAATTTTAAACTTTCCAATTGCTATTGTCTTTCTTTTCCAAAAACCTTCAATGAGGGAGAAAGTAGTAGGTGGATTTGGTGGTGGTGGAGGAGGAGGAGGAGGGGGGGGGCATCGAAGACTATCTCTATATCTGTGCAGACATTGATTGTGACAGTAACCATATTAGACACGTGCAATTTCTATTTTCTTTCTTTTCCATTTAGCCAAACTATGCCACAGCAACGCGTGGCTGGGTGCAGCTAGTGTTTAATAAAATATAGCTATTGCATTTAAATGGTTGTCTGTATTAAAGTCTAGTCGTCAGCTAACAGTTATAGTTCTCTCAGATAATTTTCTGTGGTCATCTTCATGTTTTCTGTTGACCAGTTGTTGTTACTTTTCTTGTTAGGTTGTTGATTTATTTAATGCCATAAATTATAAAAGAGCAGATAACATGTTTTAACAGTCTGCTGTTTAAGAAGCTGAAACTAAGAAGTGGTGATTGGTTATTTTTATAAACATTTATTCCTCAGTCAGTAGTAGATGTAACGGGACTTGACAGGATCAGTGTGGCTGCTAAGCAAGTTGAAGATCTTGTTAAAGAAGGTTAGAAATTACTTTTGTTATAATGGATGATGTCTGTAAATTTCTGAACTTGTTACACATTGCTAACTCTTGTTAGGTTTATACATATTAACATAGCTTTGACCAGTTAGTTATTTTGTTTGTTTCCATGTCTATTGCATGTGGGCTTGTTCTGTTCACTGATATTTCCATGTTTTCTCCTTGTTCAGTTTACAGTTTAAATATCTCTTTCTTCATTAAAAAAGCTATATTTCTTCTGTTATGTATTTTATTGTCTCATACATATAATTTGCATCAAAATATTTTCTCTTTTTTTTTTTTTGGGTTATAACTTCAGTACTGTTTATTCATTTAATTTCCTGATCCTCTAGTACCATGCTTCATTTCCCACATTAAAGTGTTTGGTTTCTTTGGCAATCATATACATATTTTTTAAATAATTAGGAATGTACCCACTATTATAAAAGTCATTTAAAATTGTGTTATATTAATTCCAAAATGTTCCAATGCACCAATTACTTCCAGTGTGATGCTAGGATGTTGATACAGACAACAGATATCAAGATTTTTCTCGCTGGTCATATTCACTTGTTGTCTGGTCCAGGGGTCTTTTTTTTTCTTCATGTAACGTAATGCATCCTCAACTTCAGTAACCATTATTGGTGGGCATTTGCTGCCCATTTGCTTCACATCTGTTATCATCATTCAGTTTGCCTATGCATGATCATTATACAAGGTTCTTTCCCATATGGCTTGGTCACTGTCCTCGATGCAACCAGTCACCTGGTGGAAGTGCCACAAAAATCACAAAAACCTGTAACTGCAGAGGTGATGCACAGGGAACTCAACACCTGCACTAAGGAACCAAAGGGAAAAGTGGAAACCAGAAGCACAACTTTCATTAGTGTGAGGCAGATATTGTAACCACTTTGCCATGTAGACCTCCAGAGGGATTTTGTTTAACTTGGGAACATTTTTATTGTTGATACTAACAAAGGAAATAGTGTCAATGCAGATCACATGAATATTTATGATTGAATTCATGCTGTCACTACTTAATTTTCTCATATATTACACTATACAGAATGAAGCCATGCAGGTAATTCTGGGATGTACAAGAGATACCCCGGTAGTATGTATGCGATATATACTTGCACTGCCCACTATTGGAGATAGGCTCAAATTTCTACAGGCAAAGTCATATTTCAGAGAAGATGCAGACAAGAAGCACCTCCTGCATGAAGCCCTGGGTAGAGCTAAGAGTCACAGACTAAAAAGAGGAAGGTGTTGAATGGAACAAGCTGAAGATACAGTTGGGCATGTATGCAGGCTTGATAAATTTGAGCGAGGAGAAAAGTGGGTCAAGATGTCCAAACAAGTTTAAGACTTGTGCAGGGTTCTAATCTCTTTAGGTCGTGAGTGCAGAGACTGACCAGCTGCTGCTGCTGCAGAATCAGAAGTTCAACAAATGATTCATGACAAATTCCGTCCAAGTGATAGGATTATCTATACAGATAGCTCTGTGTTGAGGGGCAGATGAAGTGCATAGGGTTTATAGCAAAAGCAAATGGATGTCGCTTGGTGCAGCAAAGTCTTGCATATGATATCACAACATTTAGTTTGAGAATGGAGGTGGAGGCAGTCTCTGCTGCTTCAAGGGCTCTGAATGCTGAAGAAAAAGTTAATAAATGTTGCCTTAGATTGTCTTATTATTTATAAAAGGATGATTTTGTTTAGCATGCTTCCATTTTTTTTTTGATCAACCTGTTGTCCATGCCATTCTTGTATTTTTATGTTTTGGTTACTTTCTACATGTGTATGATTGTCATTGAAAGATTGACTAATTGCAAGAGTGTGATCCAATGGTTTAGGGAAATTTAAGGAGGCTACAAATGCCTGGAGTAATACAGAAAATGTGGTGGAAATGACAAGCGGTGGAGTGAACTTTTACAACATTCTAGACTGGGATGGATCAGACAGCAACAGGAAATATGGAGGGCTAGATTCAAGAAGTCCTTTGGGTAATTGTCATATATGTTTTTCCATTTCAAAACACATTTCGACCTAATAAAGATGACTTATGTTATTTTAGTGTCTTGCTAGAGCTAATAGTTACTGTAACTGTGTTTTAGTTTCAAAATTAGCTTTTTTATTTTATAAATTATATCAGATAATATTATTCAGACAGAAGTGCTGGTTGTCAAAATTTGATTTATAAAACTCGAAAACTGTGCACATCAGTTAGAATACAATATCTAAACGCAAAGATATCTTTTTTTATTTTAATTTTGAATCTAATAGCGTAAGCCTTCTGTCAAAGGTGTTTTTTTTTTTTTTTATATTTTATGTGCTGATAATTATTATGTTAATGGTTTTATTTTAGGATTTATGAATGTGCCAAAATTTATTCTTCTGGTCTATGTGACCTTCATGTCTATCCACAGCCTTCTATTGCGTGTACCACCAATCATTTTTGATACAAATATTCCTCAGTGACATGATGCTAAACTTGCATCTTCTCTCTTGGTCTCCCCTTGCTTTTTTTCACCTCCAGCTTTCTTTTCTTATGGTATTTTCCAGTTTTTCCTTTCTCATGGCATGTTCCAAGAATCTGGATTGTCTGTTCTGAAATTCTCTCTGTGAACTAATTTCTTCATTACACTTCTTATCTGTCCATCTTGTTATGATCATCTTCTATAAAACTGCATCTGTTTATCTTCCAGTTACTCTCCTTATAATAGATTTGTTTCATGTTTTTAAATATTTGTTTTATATATTTATTTCAATTTTTCAGTGTAAAAAAAATGGTGCCTGTAATATATTTTGCATTTGTTTACTTACACAGAAAAGCTTTATGATCGCCATGTGAGACCCATGGCTAATGATGATCTGGATGTTCTCATGAATGGTCTTATCAAAAAGAAACTTAAAATTATTCCTGAAAATGTAAAATGGGGAGGTATGTTTTGTTAATGCATTCACTTTATTTGATATTTTTAAGGCTATATTGTTGAGAGGTATCAGTAATTAAATGATAGGTGTTAATGTCTGACCAAAAATAACAGCTGTATGTTTAAAGTAGTGTCATAAGTAAGTATGTCAGGGAGATAGCAAATTAGTGCTTGACTTTTCATGAAGTGTCTGAGGAAGTTGGATCCTGTAAAAGTTTGTAACCTATAATTTTACATGTTGTGATAGGTAAACATAAAAAGAACCACTACCTTAGCTTGGTAATAAACATTATCCACTTATGACATGACTTTTGGTCAGTGTGAAAGATAGCATAGTTGACTGCTTTTAGTCCTGACAAGTCTTTGCTTCTGACAATAATTGGCTGTTGCATTTTCCTCCATTTGTAGACTGAAAGGATATAGTTTCATCGCACTGCTACCTATTTGAGTTTGTGGGGCGACACTGTGAGCTGTTGTGAACTTTAGATTAAAAAATAGCAAGTAGCCTCTTGCAACAGAACTAACTGGTGGTACCATATGTGATTAATGGCATGTGCGTCTACTGATCTGTTGTAAAGGCTGCTTCCATTGATAATGAACTGCATTTCTAGTGTCAGACTGTTTGTGTTAGCACTTCTGATGGCTGTCTTATGCATTTAATCTGTGTGTGTGTGCCATTGGATATGCTGAGACTGCAGTTTGTGACAGTTTTCCCACAAGGGATAGTGATACAAATTATGTGCGGTTTTCGTTGGCATATGAGTGGAGCAACTATGGTGTGACCCCTTTGCTTTTAAGTTAAAAGTGCCTATTACCTGATCCATCATAGTTTTGACTGAGAGACTGCACATGTGTAAGAAATACATGAAAGACTTTTGTAACATGGACTTCAACTCTTAAGTACTTATTCATGCTGACATAAATGTTGGATTTGTTGTGCCCATATACGATGTAGATATTGTATTTGCATATTTCAGCCAACACTCATTTTATATATATGGTTTGCGGCAGCTCTGTGTTTTTCAGTTAGACTGTGCATGATGCAGTATATTTCTCTCTCAATTTAGAGAGAAAAGGGTTATAGTCACCATTAAAAAAAAGTATTTCTATTTCTTCTTTAAAGCAAGTATATGTGTACGTATATGTAAGTGTGTGTATAAATGAGGCGCATATTTTAAGTAAGTCCCGTTTTTACTGCAGCTACAAACACTGATGGAAGACATAAATGTGGTTCATTAGCTAGCTGTGTGATATTTTTTCACTGTCGAAATCTTGTTTTACGCTGCATGTGAGTGATTTATAATAAATATCCCCACCATCTACGAGGTTCTTGCTGTGATCGTTTTTTTTTTGTTAACAAAAAACAACAGTGCTGCAGGAGTTCACTGGCAACTCATTGAGTTTTATGGGCCAGAGGTTATGACTGATAGTATGGTTAGGAAATGGTGTTGAATGTTCAAAGAAGAGCCAACAGCTATCCATAATGAAGATTGTAGCGGTCGGTCGAGTGTGGTGACAGGCGATTTGGTAAAAGAAGTGAACCAACAAATTTCAGAAAAATGTCGCTTCACAATTTCCGCATTGTCTGTCGAATTTTTGGAATTTTCACGTTCGCTCATTTACGACATTGTGACAAGAAAAGAATTCAAGTATTTCAAGCAATTTTCACATCCAATGGAAAACTGAACAGAGAAATTAGCTCAAGATGTGCCAAAGCTAATCAAGTAATGGGGCAACTATCTCCCCTATTGACACACAAGCAGATACTCCAGAATACTAAACTGAATCTTATTAGAAATATTGTTTGGCCAACACTATGCTTTCAGTGCCAAACGTGGACACTTAATCCTCTAATGAACATAAAATTGTGACAACAGAGGTAAATTGCCTTAAAAGAGCTGCAGGAGTTTCAAGGAAAGACAGAATACGAAATCACGAAATTCAGACGAATGCTAGGAATAAAGCCAGTCTTACAGGTCATCAAAGAACAACAAATAAAGTGGTTTGGACACCTAACAAGAATGCCCTGGTACAGCGAGCCACACTGAAATATTACAACGGGTATAGAGTGAACAGAAGACCTCAGAAAAGATGAAGTGGCAGCACTACAGAAATGAACATCTTAATAGTGCTCTTGACAGAGCTCATAAACGAACCTTAAATTTCCCCCTGACACTTTGCTGAGGTACAAGGTGGAAGAGAAGAAGAAGAAACCTTGGATTAAAAAAAACTGTGTGCCAGATGGGTACCAAAAATGTTAACCAATGAACGCAAGCAGAAATGCTTGGCTTCAGCTCACAAATTTTTGCAGCGCTATCAAAATGAAGAAGATTAATTTTTGGGGCACATTGTTACTGAAGATGAGACCTGGAATTTATACACAAACATTGAATCTAAGCAACAGTCAATGTAGTGTCGACACTCGTGGTCCCCGAAAGCAAAGAAGTTTAAGCAAACACCTTCTGTCAAAAAGATCATAGCTTTAATGAATGTTCAGGACACTGGTGGCAGACTTCAATGACATTGAAATTAAAAACCTGTTGCCCCGATATGAAAAATATCTTGAAGTCAATGGTGACTATCTTGAGAAATAATGTAAATGTTTGGTTCACTTTTGGCTGCAATAAATCATTTTTATATATGATGTTTTTTGTGGGGGGGGGGGGGGGGGGGGGGGGGGGGGGGGTTCTATGTTTTACTGGAATTTACTTTAAAAACATGCTCTATGTATATATATGTGTGTGTGTGTGTGTATATATATATATATATATATATATATATATATATATATATATATATATATATATATATATATGTATAAATAAATTTTTTCTTAAACATTTACTGATCAGCACTATGTTCCCTGTGGGTTCCGCATCCATTTATTTCTTTATGACAAGCAGGTTTTTAAAGGAGCAGAGAAAATACAAGTTGCTCATGGTTGTTTGTAGATACTACACATGAGATATGTTAAAGCAATTAATTAAATAACTTTCCAGAGATAATTGTATAATTATACAATTTTCACTTTGAACTGGACACTTCAAACTATCTAGCATGTTTTTCAAATCAAACTGGACAGTTTTCAAAATACCTATTATATTTTTCAAATCAAACTGGGCAATTTTCAAAACACCTATGTTTTTCAAATCAAACTGGACATTTTTCAAATCACATAGAATGTTTTTCAGACCAAACTAGATGATTTTCAAATCATAAAGGACACTTCATAGAAAAATGGACACTGTCTGTTTTCAACAATTAATACTTATTTACCAAGAAAGTAATGCATAATTCTTGTTTAATTTCTCTAGGACAATCAGGCGAAGTTTTTGAATATCAGTCAGAGGATTTCATGAAGAATGTAACATCAACAGGTAGTATTTATATTTGTGTTACAAAAAATTTTATTGTCAGTAATCAAGTCATTTATGTAAATGAACAGGATTCACATACAGAATTCCCATCAGCATGTGAGGAGAGAAGTTAATGTATTCCAGAAGACACCATAAACTAATAAGGTTACAGTAGTCACATGACACACAGTACCACTGAGCTTATATTATGTTATTGTGATGCACATTGAGCATTCCATGCATGCTTAGTCTGTTGGGACAGCTATCCCAAAGTGCCTGTTCTGATTTTCCCATGTAAAGTTGTCAATAATGTCTATAATACCAGATTGTAAAGCATTAGACCTTTAGATATTCATGACCACAGCAAACTTAGGTAAAACAGCCAATTCCCTTCATCATCACTTGTAGTTCCCAGGAAATTCTAAAAGTTTTCTGAGACAGCAGAATCCAGAGCAATACTGGTCAGGGCAAAATTAATTCTGCTAATGATGAGGTTTAATCCAAAACTAATGTTTTAAAAGGCAATTGCTCATTTTTCAGATAGCAAATAAGTTCCTGGAAACTAATTACAGAGCTCGAAGCAGTCCTGAAAAGTGAGAACAAAACTGAGAATGGTATGCTAGAGATTCAAGCGTGTTCCAAGGAATCTTTTGAAGCACCATAACAAAGCACCATTATTTGGTAAAGAAAACTGACTCCCAAAACAATAAGTATCTTCACACAAAACGAAGTTTATATTACACTCACTTTGCCTGTTATTTTGTAACGATGTTGCTAAATAATAAGGGAAATAGCACTAGAACTAACTGATACTGAAGAAAATAATCTTTTCACTAATGTTTATTTTATTTGTGCCAGCTGTCTTTGCTATAGTTGTACCCTTTGCGTGAGGTACACATTAGACATATCCCTCATCAAAGTTTGACTCTATAAATGACTGAAACATGTCTAATTCGCAACGTTGTCTATCTAACTTTTGATAAATTAAATAAACACGAACTTATTTAAATTTGAGGCTTCTAAAGCCGTAAATCATGTTGGCATGCATGTAGAATACTGCTTCGCTACCATATTCTTTTCAAACAAACAGTAACTCAGTAAATATACTATATTTTCGGCTTTCAAACCACGTTTCTAAATGAGCATGCCTGATATCAGACAAAGAACTCGAAAGGAAGTTGAAATTGAGCGGTCCACGTTTTATGACTGGTCAGTGGTAGATAAAAACCTTCACTTGTCACGCGTTGATTAGCGCGTGATGCGTTTCCTGGGACGTTTCCTGAAGAGTTAAGTGGGTGCCACCAAACTATTGTTGTGCTATTGTACAACAGTGAGTGTTGGAAAATGACAGAAAGAATTACACATTGAGGTGTAAAGGTAAATTTATTTTTGGTGGGTGGGGGTGGGAATCTTTTTATTTTTATTTTTATTTTTCAAGTAGATACATATAATTGGAAACTCACTCAGATGTTATAGTTGGTAATGTATCGGAATGTTAATGCACATGACTAAGGTCTTGTTTCAATTTGTCAGTCAACCATCTGATACAGACAACACCTCTGAAAGTGATTGTGTACAGTGGGCAGCTGGATCTTATTTGTGATGTTCTAGGTGAGTGTTTATTTTGTTAGATAGTATCTGGATAAAGATCTTAGACAGCATCAGCATAAAGATCTTTGATAGTATCATTATTGATATCTTAGATAATGGGAGGGAAATTTCAGATACTCACCATGTTCGGTTTGAGTAGAGGCAACAAGCAGGGTGGTTTACTTGTAAGAATGAAGCCCAAATTGCTGCTTTTTAGATAACCAAAGACAAAAGGAGCTAGAAGACCACAAAACATTTTCATAGGCTCTGTCAAGAGTATATTATACAAACACTACAAGGCTTTTAAAATGTTTTTCTTGTTTTTAATTGT